TTTTTTTAAAAATAAAAATTTTTTAATAATTAACATAACAATCTATAGCATAATAACTTTTGATTTGATAATAATAGTTCATTATTATTGAAAATATATGTTATAAATCAAAATAATTTACCAAATTAATAATTTTAGTTTGATAATAGACTATCTACAAAAAGAAAATATGATACAATTTATATTGTTTGAAAATATCTTTATGATAATATCATTTTTAATGGCTTCGTGTTATTGTCTCGATGCTTGCAGGAAAATTCCGCGATCAATGATTACGTCATTTTCAATGTCCATCAACGTATTTATCCTTTCTACTTAAAATGAGTTGAAAATATGTGGTAGAGTATTTTCCAGAAAAGATACATATCAAATGAAACTTCCTGTTTTTGATAGAAATTAACGGAATAATTAATTCATTTTTTTAGATTGATTTATTGATTCATTTTTTATGAACTCATATTTTTATAAAACGATATAATAAAATTAGAGAAAGAGAAACGAAAAAAAAACAAAAGTAAAGAGCATTTCATTAGACAAAATTAATCCAAGTATTTTATGTAAAAAATCAAGCCCAATCAGAATTTTCATATACTTCTTTAAAATATGAATTCTCTGTTGGCGAATATAAAAAAATTACAAATGGAAACTTAGAAAGATTTATTTTATTCATTAAATACCATAATGAGTACTTCATTTTGAATAAATTGTATACATTTTTATACATCACGTGCATCCTTCACTAAAAATGTAAAATATGTAAAATAATGGTAAAAATCTAAAATATGTGCATAAGTTAATTTGTGTAGTGAATTGCAAAAAATTGCATGTAATGAATTGTAAAATATAACTATCATCAATGACCTTGAGAATGTTTTTCATAAGTAAAAACAGTGATATATATATATATGTATCTATTAAATAATATGAATAAAGATTTTGAAAATAGTGTAATAAGTGTAATAAACAAAATTCAAGCAATATTTAAATAATTTGATTATATTTTTCACGATAAAAAAATCGTTGTATGTATAATAAATATTTTACATATTTCTTACAAAAATATTCATATATATATATATATATTATTGTTATTATTATTATTATTATATTAGTATTACATTATATTATATTATGTTATGTTATTATTATTAAAATAATGACAAATATTAATGTGATTTGATCTTGATCCTTTGATTAGATTTGCATTTTACTGTATAAAAATGTTATTGATTAAATAGTATTAAAATAATTATTTATATATATAAATTTACATAAGCAAAATTGTATTTTATCATTAAATATAATCTTATAGTTTTATATTATTATGAAAATGATACAATGAAGTTTTAATTATTTTTTATTGATTACACTTTAGCTCGAAGAAAAAATTAAATAAAACATAAAACTTTTAGACATAATAAGAATGATACTCAATTAAAAGATAATTATAAGATATATTGATTATTGATTAATAGTAAAAATTTTTAAATATATAGAGATAAGATATATATATAGAAATAATCACAAAATATTCAAGATATTTATAATATTTTTTCTTTTTGAAAAGTCATCATTCGTGAAATTACGATGATTCATAGCACAATGGAAACAAAATTTGAGAAGAATGGTAATGAAACGAGTCACGAAATAAATTCTCATGGGATTTGTAATATGGAACGATTCTGATTATATTGCGCAATTCATTTTCTAGACATAAGAAAAGTTACCGATTACATCATTATAAATTGAAATGTATCAACATCAAACATTTCTAATTCGAAAGTTATATATTATACTTATATATTACAGTATAATCTACATTGTATTTATATCAATGATACGATAAAATAAAATAATAATAAGTTGGAATTCTTTTGTGAAATAATATATCTGATAGCATTATGAATCAAAAAAGAAAATAAATTAGTGATTTAATTATAATCAATATATAGTAACTTTTTTTACCATTCAGTACATTTTTTATCATATTTTATGAGAATGTAGAAAATTAAAATATAAAAAATTAACAATAATATTAGAAATAACATTAAAATTCTTCTGAAAATTTATTTTATGAATATTTTATAGAATTTATCTATAAAATTCTATAAAATTCTATAACGTTCTATAAAATTAACATTTCGTTTTTAACTATTACATTTCATACTTTAATTATTAATATATCATGTGTATCCATGATCTTTATTCATATGATAACTTGATTTTTAATGGTTGACCTAAGATCATGACCTAGCATGCGAATAATTACGTTGCGATTTCATTGATGCGCAAGAAATTGCATTTACGTATAACTACGTATAAATATTTCATAACCAATGTAAATATTGATTAAACCGTTGTTGTGAAATGAAATGCAATCATTGAATAGATATATAGATAACTGATAAAACATCATTTATATATTTATATAAACTTAATCTAATTTTTCCACAATTTAAAAAATATGTATTAAATATATTAATTTAATTAATTTATAATTGATTTTATTTTGAATATGTTTATATTATTATTATTATATGCATTTTTTATATTATATATATTATATAATTGTATAATACGATGATAGTAGACAAATTATATCACACTATTACTAAAAATTCGTTTATTGAATTAATGATAACTATTTTTTTTTAAATTATTATTTAATATTTATTATTTATTATTTATTATTATTATATTATTATTTATTATTATCTACTTAATTATTTAGTTATTTTTATTACTATATTTTTTAAACAATATCAAATAATTATATAAAAAATATTATTTCAATAACTTCAACACGGTTTGTATTGATTTAAAACGTGAATAATGTTGAATATATATTTTATTGATTGCCATCATACAACCATTTTCTATTTTCTGCAAAAAGTTAATGACAAAAGGCATATTTTAATAATTAAATATTGATGTTATATCGCAGAAAAAAATGATAAAAAATCCATTTTAATATGAATTATAAAATTATGTTTTTTAGATATGCTTAATTTTATCCTTGTTATATGGATATTATAGATTCTAATAAATATTTTATGAAAAATATTTTTTATAAATGCATTCTTAAATGCTAGAAGAATATGGATATTAATAAAAATATATATATATTTTTTCATAATTTATTTTTCTTTTAATAATTATTTTAATTTTTTATTTAATAATTAAACAATTTTTTATATGAATATAAGAAGATTACATAAAAATAATTCTTTTTTAACTAATAGTGTATGTATATGTTCTTTTTCTCAGCCTGATTGTCCAATATTCCTTACTGCAAGTGGAACACCAGTTGCGAAGAAAGCCAGTTTGACAGTAGGGCCAAATGGTCCTATACTGCTTCAAGATTTTGTCTTTTTAGATGAACTATCGCATTTTAATAGGGAAAGGATTCCGGAACGTGTAGTCCACGCTAAGGGAGCTGGTAGATTGATTTATTTTATTTTTAAATAAATTGTGAAATATTTATAAAATATATTTATACATGTATAAACATTTATAATACGTAATTTTTTTCAATTTTTCAATTTATTTCAAGATAAAATATAATACTTTGATATAAAATTTAATACATTTCAAAAAAATAAAGTAAATATCGAAAATAAAAAATGATGACTTAAATCAAAATTTATCAATAATTGGCAGATTAATCAAAATATTTGGAATTTTATTCAATAATTACAATTATTGAAATAAGAAGTTTTTTTAATATAATGAATTCAGATTAAATTCAGATTAAACAGATCAAATTGAATTAAATATACTAATATATTTTCATTAATCAGGCTTTATATTTACTATAAATTATTTATAATATTAATCAGATTTTACATATTAATAAATTAAAATCTAAATTAAATAGATATTTGAATATTCGAAAATATTCGAATATTTGGATTTTAATTAATAAATATCTGATTAATTAAATTTACTAATATTGTCTATCCAATACAAACAATAGGAATTTTAATCTATAATCGATCATATTTTTATTAAAATTATTCCATTCGAAATTCTAATGTTTTTTCATTTCAGGTGCATTTGGTTATTTCGAAGTTACCCATGACATTACGAAATACTCTAAGGCAAAAATTTTTTCCTCAATTGGAAAACGAACTCCCATTGCCGTAAGGTTTTCCACTGTAGGTGGTGAAAGTGGTTCTGCAGATACTGTCAGGTAATTGCAAACATAAATTTTCCTTTTTTTATAGGATATTATTGATTCTCTAAAATGCATCGTCACGCGATGTAAAATGTTTACTTTCTTCTCTGAAATTTATATAAAGCAATAACAGCAGAGATGAAAATATATATAGTATACTCATTATTTCATTTACAGAAACAAATTTTTTAGAAATAGAATGATTTAATCGAAATACAATTTAATATCATTATTATTAAAAAAATTATATTATTTAGTTTCTCCAAAAAATTTAGATTTCAATACATTTGAATATTGAACAATATTTTTTTTGTTATTTTTATTGATTTTATATTATATGTATGAAATTATTTATAATCTAAATATATTATTTTATCTTATAATTATATAAAATTAAATATTAAAACTATTTTTATTTTATTATGTGTAATTTTCTTTTAGAAATTTGTATTTGTTGTTGAATTAATTCTTATAGATAGATTAGTAGAATTAGTAGATAAATTAATAGAATTATATTTAAAAATAAGGCAATACTAATCTATTATTTACTATTATTTACTAATAATTACTTTCAAGAGAAAAATTCGAGCTTCATAGCATAATTTATTGCAATTGTGATAATAATGGAAACAAGGCTAGAAATTGTTTTGTTTGCATAAAAATTATCACTTAGTATTATACGAAATTGCACGAGAAACTTGAACATTGGCTTTGCAATTAATTGATCAATTAGTAGTAGTAATTGATCGCCATAGAAAAATTTTTTCTTTCAATACTATAAAATTATAAAATTTATATCAATTACATGATTTTGCGCTATTTGTTATTTTTCTAATTTCATTTCAATTAATTCAATTCACTATTTCATACATAATTAAAAGAATAAATCAATTTTCTCGAAAAACTCATTCTAATAGAATCATTCATTTCTTAATAATTCTTTATTTTATTTTTCAGAGATCCTCGTGGTTTCGCAGTTAAATTTTAC